AACAATGACGGTTGCTTCTTGAACTGGGAGGTGAAATGCAGAATTGCTTTCTTGGTGTCATTTTGTAATGTTATGTAACATAGCAAGTTTTAAGTTTAAGTTTAAGTTTAAGTTTAATTCATTCACCATAGGAATGGCAGGAGAAAGCAACAGAACTTTCGTTCCAGTTGACACCTAACCCCTTTTTTACCCACCCATCCCACCCTGGGGAGGACATCCATCACACAGTAATCTCAAGTGTGGGAAATTAACGTCTCCTACCCCAACTCTGCAGGAGACCGGACCTCCCTTTATCGTCCCTATCCGAGAAGACTAGAAAGTCTAACCATTTGCAGATATTATTACAAAGGCAGCACTTTCTTCTCAGTTAATTAAAGACCCTGAGTGTTGGTCCGACCGGATTTGAACTCACGACCTCCCGCACAACAGTCCGGTGCCCTACCAATTGAGCTAACCGGGAGGCGGTTAGCTCGATGTATTTAAACCATTTTGTTCATCGTAGTTTGTGCAGTTTTGTCCCATAAGCTTGACTATATTTTGTCATTGCATTGTGCTAGCCAGGGAATCATCAACATCGCAACAAGTGTAAGTTTTGTATGTAATTTGTTGTGGCTTTCCCAGTGTAAATACACTTAGTTTATATTGTAATAGGTTTTTGTCCGCTATTTCCTTTGCAGTTTTAACCGTGTCGTTTTGCTTCGTTTGTTTGTTTCCTCAATCTATGCTGGGGGCCGTCATTGGATATAATTTGCAATTAAACTTTCTGAAACTAGTGTTGAAAATTGTGTTAGAGTTGTTTGTCCCCACTTAAAGAAGGTACTGTTGGACTGTTAGGGTTCTGTAGTGGGCTTTTAGAGACCTGATTACCCCTTAATCCATCGGCTGAGTCCTAGACTTAGTATTGGGTGGGAGGAACACCTAGTTAATAGCTTGAAGCCCTTCAATGTGTGGGTGGACACGGCAGTTGTCAACAATGGGGGCAACTTTCATCCCTTCTCTCACAAACTTTTCATCAAGTTCTCTCACCCACTCCTCAAATAAATCACTGTCCATCCAACTTTTCTTCTGTACTTGGTATCGGCATGGGATGTTTTGCACACCATTGAAACCATGTGGATGAGCAGATTTTCCTTTTACAAACATGGGCAGTTTTTTGCCCACTGCATTTGAAGCAGCCATTAATTCCAGTAAACCTGATTTTACTCTGCTTGCCACCCGCACATCTTTTGGACTTCAGGTTTAAAGTTTTGTTTGGCAGTGCTTGATTAAACAACCCAAATTTGTCAGCATTGTAAATGTCCTCAAGTTTATAGTTCCATGGAACAGCTGTTACATCTTCCAAAACTTTGACAATATAATGGTCTCATTGGTCTGGCCTGCTCAAGTAGGTCCTCAACGAACATGCTCCTGTGAAACAAATACAACTTCACAACAACCAATTGCTGTGGATCAGCCCCGACATTCAAAAACAGATTCAAACACGAAATCGACTTTACAAGAAGTTTCACTCTGTACCAACAGATTCAAATTGGTCTAAATACAGGAAACAAAGAAACTCAGTCACAGCAATGAAGAGAAGGGCAATAAAGGATTTCTGTGCTGATATGGCCTCAACAACACCAACCACTGGTCTCTTCTGGAAAAAGATGAACGGCTCCTCCCAAATAGCAAATCAAATATCGATGGCTCTGCTGACATCCGCCTTTCGGACCATGGGCAACTAATATCTAATCTGAGTGCTGTCCTAAATGATTTCTTTGCAAGTCTGAGAATACAGGAATCAGTCTTGAATCTCACAGAAGAGGATTTCAGTGACCATCCCAGCATTGCAGCAATAAAGAACAAGGAGTACTTACTTGATTTTAATTTTGC